AATGAGTTTTTTGGGTTCATTGAGAACATGGTTGTTGTTCAATAATAAAATTATTCCTCAAAAATACAACTTGCCTAATAATTCTGCACTCCCTGTATTGATTATTGATATATTGATTATTATTAATACTTAATATGTATTGACTATATCATTGTTATTTGGCAAATTTTTATATGTGTAATGTAGTCATAAGTCTTTATCTTTCTCAACAGAGGACCTCTGAAGAAATCTACAACAGGTTAGTGTGTGTGTGTGTGTGTGTGTTGGCAGCTAGTGGCTCAGCAGATAAAGTGGGTCATCTGCTAATCAGAAGGTTGGTCATTTAATCCCCAGCTCTTTCTGTGTGTGTTTGAGTGGTGGCATTAAAGCATTAAAAGACAAAAATAATGACAACAATAATAAAATGGTATATGAATCAGTAAATGCAGCCTGTACTAAAACTGTACTGGTGTAAATACATTGGGATTAGTTTATGGTGAAACTTAATTAATTTACATGTCTTAATTTACATGCTGTGTTATTCTCAGTTTTTTTTAGTTAATATTACCCCTGCTGAGTACATGTAAAGGAATTATTGCTTCTCCCTACATTTAACTCCTGTTATTGTTATTTGTTGTTGTTGTTGTGTTAAAGGAGGCCAGGGAACTGCAGCTTCCTCAAATCAGGTAAAAGTTGCTAATTCCTTTAAATTCACATGAGTATGCATATACCTGAGTATATGTTTAAGGAAACAATGTTTTCATCCCTAAACCCATTACTTAAATCATTCACAGAAACATCAGACGAATTAAAACCAATATTCCTCAAATCAACTCTTATGTTTATAAATTTTGCTAGAAAAATTATCACAGATTCATAATCTTGGAGTTTTGAGACACACTTATGGACTATAGCTTAGTCCAAATATAGTTTATATGGACCGATTAACAGAGTATGCCTCCTAACATACAGCTAACACTTGTGTACCTTATGCTCAGCATCAGACTTTGAACCTTGTCAGACTTTGAGTTAAACCCAACTTAACAGCTGGATATAACTGTCGGGCTCATGGTTGTGTTTTTCGTAAAATTAGCCAAATATGTGTTTAATATTTAATTTATTGCAATGTAACTGAATGAAAGTTGGATCTTAAAGAGTCTAAAACAAATACGATAAGACTCCCTTTATTTCACAGTTATAATCTTATTCTACTCTCTGTTTCCTCTGTAGGAGTTGAACTATGCAGATGTCAGGTTTTTCCCAAAGAGAAATGATGGGAGAGTTCAGATGGGGGTACA